CTCTTTGCCTGAATGCCATTTGTGGTCTTCGTAGAATGGAGAGTAACAGAAGGCCCTACTGGAAATCAATTTTATGTAAGCTTTTCATTCTCTGGCTTCAAGTATTTCTAAAATGTACCTTTCTATGCAGGCTACTTATTCAGGCAACTATTTTCAGGTGAAGATACTCAAATGAAAATAGAGAATCACTTTTGGCCTTTTGCTAATATTTCATGCATCAAAATTTTGATAGTCTGACAAAGTGTTTACCATGAGATTGGTAAACTCACGGAAGCCAAACTGTCTGGGATGCAACTTCAGCTCCACTACTTACAAATTCCATAACCATCTACCTCGCCTGCCTATACCTCAGTTTCCCCATCTATAAAGACAATAACAGCACCTATCTCACATGGTTCTCTTGAGAATGAACTGAGTTATTACATGAAAAACTTAAAAACATATCCAACATACCATAAATCAACAGTAAATGAAACTATTTTTACCAAGAGGTGTTTTCAAAGAGTTTATTTCTAATTTGCTATACCAATTAATAAGAAAGGCACTTTCTCATCCTATTTCACTTTTACAAGGCAGACATTTTTTTTTCAAGACAGAGTCTCACTCTGACGCCCAGGCTGGAGTAAAGTGGCATGATCTCGACTCAGTGCAACCTCTGCCTCCCAGGTTCAAGCAATTCTTCTACCTCAGCCTCCCAATTCCAGTAGCTGGGATTACAAGCACCCACCACCACGCCCAGCTAATTTTTGTATTGTTAGTAGAGACGGGGTTTCACCGTGTTGGCCAGGCTGGTCTTGAACTCCTGACCTCAAGTGATCCTCCTGCCTTGGCCTCCCAAAGTGCTGGGAATACAGGAGTGAGCGACTGTACCCAGCCAACAAGGCAGACTTTGAAACTGTGTATATTTTCCAAAAATATATATATCTTAAGAAAAAACTAAATTTGATTTCTAAACAGTAACAGCAGTAACAGAGAAATAGCTTATTTCAAAAAGTCCACAACATCAAGGATAGGACAAGCAAGAATCATACTGTATTATAACAAATTTTGACAATCACCAAAGTTAGGATTTACAACTAAAGTAACAGTTCACTTCTCTTTTTCCTGTGTTTCTTATGCCCTTACAGCCTAATACTCTTATCATTCCATTTTCTATAGATCACACGGGAAAATGTTTTGAGATCACACAGCTATTCACAAACATCTGACTGAAGCAATAGTATAGTTTTCATTATGAACCAAGTGAAAAATTAGAGTTGAGTAAATTTTATGCTATTATTTCCAGGATGTTGCAATCCCTACGCAACCAAGGTTTCAAGTTAAAGAGAATTTGGCTGATCCACTCACAGCAACAAGGAAAATATGATGCAGGCTGTAGATTCTGATAAGGATTATAGCAGATGAATGTAGAGAATGTGGTGAGCATCCTTGAAAAGCTCCCTGGTTGCAGCAGCTGAAATGTTAATACGGGAGTTAAGAACTCTGGAGTTTACTGGCTGCGTTCAAGTCTTAGCTCTACGTCTTGCAAGGTATATGGCCAGAGACAAATTAGCCTCATCATTTACTTAATCTTTTAAACTAGGGACAATAAATGGTTTTGTTGTGAAAATTCAATTAGCATTTGATGACCTGCACAGTGTCTTATGCCTGTAATCCCAGCACTTTGGGAGGCTGATGTGGGAGGATCCCTTGACCCCAGGAGTTCAAGACCAGTCTGGGCAACATAGTGAGACCTTGTCTTTACAAAAAATTTAAAAATTTAGCCAGGAGCAGTCGTGCATGCCTGTGGCCCCAGCTCCTTAGGAGGCTGATGTAAGAGGATCACTTGAGCCCAGGAGGCTGAGGTTGCAGTGAGCCTTGTCTGTACAACTGCACTCCACCCTGTGCAACAGAGCAAGACCCTATCTCAAAATAAATACAATAAATGAATAAACTTGTGAAAAACATTTCAAATAGTACTTGCCACACAGTGCTATATATGTATGTATTAAACATTGCAATAACTTTGGCCATTCATGGTGATACCCACATGTAGATATGAAGATGGTTGCATTTTTTAGAGTAGGCCTTCTCTCAGCATAGTTAAACAAAACAAGTGTTCAGAATGATCTTTTAAATTTTGATGCTAAATGACCATAACAACTATTATAATCATATTTATTTAATATCTGGATAGTTAAAAAAAAATGTATTTGAGGCCAGGTGTGGTGGCTCATGCCTGCAATCCCAGCACTTTGGGAGGCCGAGGCTGTCGGATCACTTGAGATCAGGAGTTCGAGACCAGCCTAGCCAACATGGTGAAACCCTGTCTCTACTAAAAACACAAAAATTAGCCAGGCATGGTGGCGTGCACATGTATTCCCAGCTACTCAATCGCTTGAACCCAGGAGGTGGAGGTTGCAGTGAGCCGATATCACGCCACTGCACTCCTGTCTGGGCAACAGAGCTAAACTGCGTCTCAAAAGAAAAAAAAAAAAAAAAAAACGTGTCCAGGGTACATTATAGGACTGCACTCATAGAAATATGAGGGTGGAGATTTCAAATGCTCATCTGCAGAAGAGACAACATATCACAGGTGTCCAGGCTACAGTCAGTTATGTCTGGAACACTGTGCAGGTGCTCAAATACAGACTCCTAAACTGCTCTGACAACAGTAGCAATTCTAGTCCCTTAAATGGCTTGTAGTCATCATGAAGGCTGAAGACCCTCTTCCCCGGTGGGTCTGATCATACTGTTGGTTCTCAAGCAGATGCTGTGTATCCAATGTTTTCCTAAAATTCCCTAGCATTAATTATTTTAATGGTTTGTGGAATGATTTAATGGTTTGTGGAAGCACTGGGGAAACAGGCTGACAATGGAAACTTTGTATTTGAAAAATATTGTAATATCTGTAGAGGTTCTACTCAGGAATACTTTCCATGCTTCCATACTTTCTCTGATTTAGGAGAAAGTTTCTCAAGAGAATGATATTCTCAACAGAAATGGAAAGTTTCTCAACAGAAGGCCTCCATCATTTTTGTGGTAGGTATGAGAAGAATAGGCTGAAATAAAAGGGGAGATGAAAATTTAAGGACTTTAAGTTTTGTTTGAAAAGAAGATCATAATTTAAGTCTGGGTTCTAAACTATGGCCGTTAAAAAAATGAAAAAAAAAAAAATCAAGAAAATTCCACTCTTTAACTTGGGGGAAATTTTTGTGAGGTTCTCTTCGTGGGAAGCAGGGATTCAGCCATGGAGGACAAGTGGCTTGCTGATTTCAGTACCCAGAAAGTTTTTTTAAATATGAACTTTGTCCACTGTGAGATGAATGTGTATATACTACCCATTCTCTTCTTGGGGTGTCATTGAAAAGTCGGATTTTAAAAGCTAATGGTATCAGTGCTGCAAAGACAGGCCAATTACAGACAGTGCCATACAATTTTTTCTTTATTTTCTTACTTTTAATCTTATTTCTTTCCTTCTTTTTGATAAAAGATATACCTAAAGAGGCACCTACACACAACCCTGGCACCGTCCGCCGCCCCAAGAACCTTCCTGATTTACCAACGGCCTGGGAGTTGGCAAACACGCTAACAACAACAACAAAAAAAACCAAACGGGCTTTTGCCTCAACCTCATAGTTCCTCCCCATCTGCACTCACCGGTCTTCACCGGATTCACAGCGAGCAGACACCTAGTACAGCCGGCCGATTCCTAGGTCCTCCGGCCAGGAGGCGCTGCGAGCTAGTCTCCGGGGGCCACCGCAGCCCGCGCGCCCAGCACCCCCACCCTCAAGGCAGAGCCCAGCCCAGCCCCGCGGCGGATCTCCGAGTTCTGCGCCGCCCGCCGGGGTTATTCCCGGTCATTCCACAGCACCACCTCGCCCCAGCTTCCCCATCTGCGCCCAGGCAGAAGCTGCCCCAAGAGACCAGCGGCAAGGGTCTGGAAGATGGGGCGGCAGGGAACGTGGGGGAGGGAGGATTGGGCACCCCACCTCCGGGTTTCCGCAGGCTCTCCTAAGTCTTGTATTTAGAAGAAACAAAACTCGGCCGGGCGCGGTGGCTCACGCCCGTAATCCCAGCACTTTGGGAGGCCGAGACCGGTGGATCACCTGAGGTCGGGGGTTCGAGACCAGCCTGGCCATCAAGTTGAAACCTCGTCTCCACTAAAAATACAAAAATTAGCTGGGTGTGGTGACGCGCCTGTAATCCCAGCTACTCAGGAGCCTGAGGCAGGAGAACCGCTTGAACCCGGGAGGCAGAGGTTGCAGTGAGCGGAGATCGCTCCATTGCACTCCAGGCTGGGCGACAGAGCAAGACTCAAAAAAAAAAAGAAAAGAAAGAAACTCGTTCCGCGCTCTGCGCCAGGGACACCAGCTCGGCTGAGCGCACGGAGACTGTAGGCAGGACCTCCCTACCCCTCAGGTCAAAGAAAGCCCCAAGGCCTCTAGTGTACTCACGGACCCCGTTTGGGACACCTCCAACTCGAGTTCTCGGGAAAAAGGACGCGCTGCTCCAGTCCCGGGGTGCATACAGCAGATTCCCAGGTCAGAACAGACCAGCTTCTTAAGAACCGAATGAGGACTCAGTGCTGGCATTTGTCTCCGTAGGTACTGGCCAACCCGCAACCAGAGGGGTTTCTAGCCAACTCAGGCCCCTCCGAACAAAGAAGCGCTCCGTGCCGGACCTGCAACTCTCCCCACCCGGCAGCAGCGACCTCAGCACGCCCAGGCACCCCCGACCCCTCTGAGCCCGGGGTACTGCGCCCGGGTCTCCACGCCCAGAGATGCTCCCCAGTCTCCACCGCCGGGCGAGTCCCGAGCTCAGCAGCGCAGTCCTGGGGTCGCCAGAGCTCGTCCTAGGACATCCTCTCCCCATTTACGCCGCCCCAGGTCCCATTTGGGTTGCAAGCGGTGGGCATGCGGGGCTCCGGATCAAAGTCCCCGAAACCGAGCGCTTCCCGAAGCTTCCTTGGCCTCGCAACAAAACAATAACGCCCAATAAGTCACTGGAGAGCCTCTTACCTGTTTTCCACTGTTGTGTTTGCGTCTCTTTCTCCTACCCCTTGACAAGCCTTCCGGAGAAGGGGAGAAAACAGAACGAGGGGAAAAAACAAGGAGCAAAGCGCCCTGAGAACTAGTCCTGTTGGTGCGCGGAGCCCCCCGCCCTGCTCTGCCCTGCCGCAACCCGGGAGAGAAGGGTCCGCTCGGCTCTGCGGGTCCCGGCCCCACTCACTCTCGCTCGCAATTACGGGGTTTTTGCCGAGACTAGTTCCTTTTATAGATTCGGCTGTTCGGAGCGCAGAGGTTACTATCGGTCAAAGCCTGTTCTCGCCTTCCTCCCCGCCCCCTTCCCGGCCTCTGTTTATGTAGTTCAGTCACTCAGCAGAAAGCACGTGGAGCCGCGGCCCGCCTCTTAAACGGGCGACGTTCAGCCGCCCGCGAAGCGGCTAGGGAGTTGGGAGGAGGTGGGTGGGGTGGGGTGGGGTGGGGTGGGGGTGGAGGGTGCTTCAGGTGTCTCAGGGTCCGCGGTCTGCGCCCCCAGTCCCCGCCCGGGCCCGCCGGCCTAAGACCCATGGGAAGCGCTGGGCTCGGGGCTGCGCCGCAGACTCTCTAGTCCATGTTCCCGGCAGCCAAGGGCACCAGTGGAATTTGCTTCCTCTAAATCGTGCTTTCCCCAATTTTTTTTTCCTTTGTTAGTTTCCTCAGCCGGAGGGAGGGATTGGGGGAGAGAGAGCTCCATACTGAATCCCCCTCAGGACGCCAATCATTTTGCCTTTTGGTTCCTTTCAAAGACCTAGGCTGGTCCTCTGGGTAACCGGCTGCTTTTGTTTCCCCCCGACCCAACAAACCTTGACTTTAGTTTTTGATAGCGACCTACTGCCTTCGAGATTCCCAGCCTGAGCTCCCCAGGTCCCTCAGAGGACCTGAGAGGAACATCTTACTGCTTCTCTTCATAAATTGAGAGGAAGGAGGCCACAAAAACAAAAAAAGAAACAGACAAAAACACAGAACAATATGGACCAGCCCCCTTTTAATTTTCATTATATTGATCAGCCTCCCTGTGATAAAAACACAGGACTTGTATTTAGCTTGTATACATTTGTAAAGTGCAGCCAGAGAATTGCAGTCGTGTAAAATTATGTAGCCACTCCAGACCTCCAACTTCTGTTTGCCTTTGCCTGTAGGGAGCAAAACCACCCAAAACATTGGAGGGGCCAAAAAAAAAAAAAAAAAGGCAAGAGTGGGAATGCAGGCCTACACACCATATGTCTAAATATTTAAGTCATCCATCAAGCCAACAAACTAAATGTCTCCTGCCTTGACAAAGATACCTTTGTAACCACCTTGAAGGGCAGATTCACGTTTAGACTCTTCACAGTTTGACCTGAGTTTTGGTCAGAATGAGGTGGCATGAGAGAGCGCCCCAAGCCTACTTCTCTTCCCACCTCCAGCTCCATTATATTCCAGAACTCCCACCACGTGCATGCAGACACTCAGCTGCACAAGCCCCCTCCAGGCTACAGTCAACAGGATCTCCAGGCTACAGCTCAAGCCCAGGTACCCACATCAGTGGTTCTATCAACACTCAGGACAGACCCATAGAAGAGGCCCAAGCAGGCCCTGGAAGTGCACGTGGAGGCCACAAGGCAAGGAATTCTGGAGTCCCAGGTACTCATAACTCTGGGGCATGGCCCCTTTGCACCATGGACTGTTTGTCCTTAGAAAGGGATGGATCTAAGCCGGGCACAGTGGCTCATGCCTGTAATCCCAGCATTTTGGGAGGCCAAGGTGGGCAAATCATCTGAGGTCAGGAGTTCGAAACCAACCTGGCCAACATGATGAAACCCAGTTTCTACTAAAAATACAAAAATTAGTCAGACATGTTGGCGGGTGCCTGTTATTCCAGCTACTCAGGGGGCTGAAGCAGGAGAATCGCTTGAACCTGGGAGGCAGAGGTTACAGTGAGCTGAGATCACACCACTGCACTCCAGCCTGAGTGACAGAGCAAGACTCCGTGTCAAGAAAAAAAAAAAAAAAGAAAGGAAGAGAGAGGTGGATCTCAGAAAGGCCAGAGATGAGCTTTCTAAAGTCCAAGGCCCAAGAGAGGGGACCCCCTTGCCTCAGTCAAAGAATAACCTTGGTCAATAAATTGAGTTTTGGGGTCAAACTTGACAACCACATGATGAGCAATTTAGGTAAAGTCTTTCTGCCTCTGTTTCATCTTTTTTTTTTCTTTTTTCATCTTTTTTCTTTCCTTCCTTCCTTCTTTCCTCCCTCCCTCCCTCTCCCCTCCCCTCCCCTCCCCTCCTCTTTCTCTTTCTTTCTTTCTTTTCTCTCTTTTCTTTCTTTTGACACAGGGTCTTGCTGTCTACCCAGGCTGGAGTGCAGTGGTCCAATCATGGCTCACTGTAGCCTTGACTTCCTGGGCTCAAGCGATCCTCCCACCTTAGCTTCCCAAGTAGCTAGGACCACAGGTGCATGCCACCTCACCCATCTAATTTTTGTATTTTTTTTGTAGAGACAGGGTTTTGCCGTGTTACCCAGGCTGGTCTCAAACTCTGGAGCTCAAGGGATCCTCCGGCCTCAGCCTCCCAAAGTGCTGGGATTATGGGCATTAGCCATTGTGCCCGGCCTGTTCTTCATCTTTAAAATGGAGAGAAGATGTATGTTCTGTCTTCCTCACAGGGGTTTTCTGAAAATAAACTTTGTTGAAACCATTGAGCTCCTTGGTAGAATGGTGTTATAAAAGCAGAGAGCGTTATTAAAAGGTGGTATCTTTGCTAGCATGATTTTAGAGAGTAATTAGGTCTCCCTGACACTCCATCTCCTCTCTCCTTCTTCTCCTACCTTTCTGAAGTCGACCACCAAAATCATTCATTTTTGTTTTCTTTTTTTATTGAGATGGAGTTTCACTCTTGTTGCCCAGGCCAGAGTGCAACGGCGCGATCTCGGCTCACTGCAACCTCTGCCTCCTGAGTAGCTCAGATTACAGGCACCCGCCACAATGCCCGGCTAATTTTTGGTATTTTTTAGTAAAGACAGGGTTTCACTATGTTGGCCAGGCCGGTCTCAAACTCCTGACCTCCGGCGATCCACTCGCCTCAGCCTCCCAAAGTGCTGGGATTATATGCATGAGACACTGTGCCCAGCCCAAAATCATTCTTTTTGGAATTTTGAAGCATATAGTTCCAAAAGGTATGAAAGTAATCGCTTAGATTGCTCTAATAAGGGAATGGGCAACAGTTAAGTCCTATACAAACAAGACAAAGATAAGATACTACAGAAAGGGGATGAGCCCAAGAAAAAAAATCAAAGTCCCAGAGAAAGAACAGCCATTGATTCTAAATACATAAGTCTGTGGCCCCAAGCCAAACTTGTGTCACTAAGAGCAACCTGTGGTTTCAAGAATCTGGTCATCCCCCACAGTGAATACATGAACACATTGTAATGTTTGAAATGTTTATTTTTCTTGTTGATCTCTACTGTTAGAAGAGCCCAAACCTCCAAAGTGACTAAGTGATTCGGCCAGTTTGTACACAGGGATGTAAGTTTGCTGACACCAAGCTCATACTTTACAAATGTAATATCTTTATAAGACAAAAATACTGGCCTAGGCACGGTGGCTTACGCCTGTAATCCCAGCACTTTGGGAGGCCGAGGCGGGCGGATCACGAGGTCAGCAGATCGAGACCATCCTGGCTAACAGGGTGAAACCTCATCTCTACTAAAAATACAAAAAGTTAGCAGTGTGTGGTGGCGGGCGACTGTAGTCCCAGCTACTGGGGAGGCTGAGGCAGGAGAATGGTGTGACGCGGCCGGCGGAGCTTGCAGTGAGCTGAGATCACTCCGCTGCACTCCAGCAGAGCGAGACTCAAAAAAAAAAACAAAACCATATACTCAATATCAAAAGCTAGAGCCTAAGAGATGCCCCTTGAAAAAGAAGCTTACAAGTGTGAATTATCTTCCCTCCAGCCCTTAGATTGGTTTGTCTTTTAGTATATTTCAATGAGCTTCCGCCTCCCCATCCCATCCCTGCCCCCGGCTCCAACACCAAAACCCCAAGCCCCTCCTCTCGGTGACTCCTTCCAAATACACAGGAAGGCCCTTCTTTGTTGCTGTTTTTCTGGAGAGGCTGATTCTGTAAATGTAGCCTGGGTGGCTTGAGGTTCTATTCTGAGATGACCCTGGCATCTTCTAATTACAGAATCAACCTTCAGGCAGCTGTGGCCTTGCAGACTCTGCTGGAGGTCATGGAACTACAGAAAAGCTCAATCTTATCATTCTATTGAGGCTTTTAAATTGGAGATTACCTAAATGGCATTGCTTGGGGGTTGCTTTGCTATATCTCTTAACTCATCTGCGTAAATGTACATGTACACATTGTATAAAATACAAATGATTTTCAATGCTCCTGAGTTTTTTTGGTTGATACTCATACTGGTTGCTAGAAACTCTGAAAAAAATAGAGTAATGCAGGAAGTCAATGAAGAATAAAAAATAATGTATTCTAAAATGTTTTAAGATGAATTTATTATGATTAAGAAGACCCGGTGGGGCACGGTGGCTCACGCCTGTAATCCCAGCACATTGTGGAGCCAAGGCGGGCAGATCTCTTGAGGTTAGGAGTTCGAGACCAGCCTGGCCAACATAGCGAAACCCCGTCTCTACTAAAATTACAAAAATTAGTCGGGCGTGGTGGTTTGCACCTATAGTCACAGCCACTCAGGAGTCTGAGGAAGGAGAATCACTTGAATCAGGGAGGTGGAGGTTGCGGTGAGCTGAGATTATACCACTGCATTCCAGCCTGGGTGACCCAGCGAGACAGTCTCAAAAAAAAAAAAAAAAAGAAAAGAAAAAAGACGAATACCTAATAGCTGAAGTCCTGGAGAATTTCTGGAGAGGGAGAAATGCCTCAAAATAAAATAAATAAATAAATAACAAATAAGAGGGATAAAAGGACCTACAGTTCAAATTGAGTCAGCTTAATTCCAATACACAGTTAGACATAGAAACAAATCGAGCAATCAATGGTCAAATAAAAATGTACCAGGAATCATCATTATTTGTGCAGTAGACCATGTATTGCAGAGGCTCTCAATCAATTCAATTTAATTGGACCAATGTGATCCTATTCTGTATTAATGTGACTCCTGTTGACACGTAAGCAAGATTCAAAATTATTATTGCTTCTGGACTTGAGTAAGATGTTTGTTCCGTTTGTCATTGGGATCAAGAGGTTAGCCTTGGCTGGGCACCAGTGGCTCCGGCCTGTAATCCCAGCACTTTGGGAGGTCAAGGCGGGTGATCACTTGAGGTCAGGAATTCGAGACCAG